CTCTTCTGGTAGACAAGTTTCTCTTCTCGCTGCACCAGGCTTCCTGCCCTGTCCTTCTTCCAGCATGAGAGTCTCGGGGACCTGGAAATTCCTTTGACACCAACATTTCAAATGTTCGACAGCAAAGGGAGGATGCAGGTCTCTTAGAATATCTTTATTCCTGTGGGCCCACTAGTTTGAAAAGTTAGCTCTGTGTTTTCTTGGGGGCAAATTTTACCTGTAACAACTTTCTCTTTTCCCAGGGCCAAGAGCCCATGGACTAGCTGTGTAATGTGTATGTGTGTGAGAGAGCGAGAGGGAGAGGGAGACAGACAGGCAGGACTCAGTGTGACTGGACCCAGGTCCAGAAATTCATACCTCAGAAAAATCAATGTCCTCAAAAGCAGTGGGAAGAGAAGGGCTTTTAGAATAACCAGGGTGAAAACTTGCCTTGAGAGCAGCCTCTGGAGGGCAGCTCAGTGGCGCAGAGCGTCTGTGCCCTTTCAGAGGACCCGATTTCAATCCCAGCGAGCAGAGCACACCTGCCTGTAACAGCCTAGAGGAGCTGGCGCCCCCTCCTGGTCTCTTTGGGCAAGCGTGTGTGTGTGTGTGTGTGTGTGTGTGTGTGGCGTGTATGTGTAGATGAAGAGAAAAGAAAATCTAAGGACTATAGACTGTCAACTGCAGGGAAACTGGGTCGTAGACACGGAGCGGGGAGGTGTGTGGGCGAAAAGGCTAGTAAGGACGAGGAATGTTCGTGTGCTCGCTCGGGTGGGGGTTGCCCAGACTTGGGTTCCCTCTCCTTTGCTCCTGGTCTGGTGTCTCCTGTCACGGCAGCTGGTAGGGGTCATTAGCCTTGGCTGGAGAAGAGAGACAGTGAGGTCAGGCTTCCCCTGACTAACATATAGTCTAGGGAAAACCATCTCTCGAATGTCAATGTGTGTACGCAGAGTTGACTGATGGCCGAGTCGCTGATTTACTTCACCCGTCCCACCACCCAAGCACAGATGCAGGGACCAGCCAAGTTCCAGCGTCAGCAGCTAAGGTGGGGAGTTTAGTCAACTATTATCATCACAACCACACGGGGTCCTGGTTGGCTTTCTGTCTCTGTGATAAACAGCATACCAAAAAGCAACTCGGGAAGGAAAGGGTTACTTTATCTTCCCCTTCCACATCACAGCCCACAGTGAAGCCAGGGCAAAAACTCAAGCAGGAACTTGCAGGGAGTAACGCGCAGGCAGGAAACGAGCGGAGGCTGTGGAGGAAGGCAACTCATGCTCCAGGCTCCCGTTCAGCTCCCCTTCATTTCTGTGTGTGTGTGTGTGTGTGTGTGTGTGTGTGTGTGTGTGTGCGCACACGTGTGCATTTTCCCTGCACGTATGTTCGTGCACCACACCAGTGCCTGGCCCCTGCTGAGGTCAGCACAGGGCATTGGATCCACTGGTAACAGAAGGTTGTGAGCCACCTTGTGGGTGCTGGGAATTAAGCTCCAGTCCTCTGCAAGAGCAACTCGTGCCTTACCCAGTCAGCCAACTCTCGCGTCCCTCAGTTGTCTCTCTTGTGCCGCAAAGGACCCCAGTAGGATGACACCACCGTTCTGGGCTGAGCCCTCCCACACCAACCACTAATCAAGAGAGTGCTCACAGCCGTGCCTGCCGGCCAGTCTGATACAGGTGTTTTCTCAGTTGAGATTCGTCTTCTCAGGTGAGCCTGGCTTTTGTCTAGCTAGCACACCCGGCAAAGCTCTTCTTCATTGCAAACGAGCGTGAGGCTGATGCATTGCCAAGCTATGTGACCTCCAAAGTTACGGAGTTTTTTAACGCCTGTTGAGACAAACCTGGAGGGTTTGCTTGGGGTCCCACCACCCCTGTAACGGCAGGGTTCGTATCTCACAGGACCTGCTCTGTGGGCAGCGGTGGCTTCCCCAAACTTGGTGGGAAGCTCACTGCATAGACCCCTGCGGCTGAGACGCGCTGGATTCTCAGATTCTGTGGCTGTGAGCCAACACTACCTCAAGCTCCTTGGGGCCTGATGCCCTCTTCTGCTTTCTTCAGGCACTGAGCGTAGGTGCTCCAACGACACACTCATATCACACACCTTGATACACATGAAAACAACCAACTTATTATCGGGACAAAGTAGCGCTCCAGTTCGTAAGGTCATCCAGGCACTCAGGTTTGAGGTTGAGGCCACACCCAGCTGTCACCTCTTTCTGACAGCTGTTGTAGAGGAAAGGCAATTCCCTAGCAAGAGCCTGCCCGTGACTCAGGAAAGCGTCGGGTGTCCAGATTCCAGAGGATGACAAGTACCGTTCTCACTTCCCCAAGGAAGCTTACAGCCTCCCCGGGATATCTGGGGGCTGCTGGGGGCAGGTGACATGTCCCCTCCCTCTCCCCACTTAATGAGAACACCTCAGCTGGACGTGTCCCGCCTCCTCAGTCCTGTATTTCCTCAGTGTTGGGATTCCCCGCCACCCTACCCTACCCCACCCCACTGCCCCAGGAGTCACAGGCGGCCTGGCTACGTGAACCCTCCCCTGCTTCTGGAGTGAGGAGGGGCCTCACTCCAACTCCTGGGGCTGAACTCTCGTCAGAGCTTCCTCCTGCGGTCTGCTATGGGGGCTTGAACGCTCCGGATAGCCCCCCATGCAGCTGTCTGTATATCCAGAACTCTTCCTCCGTAAAGGGACAGTACCTCAGTTCTCCCTGAGCTGAGCTGAGACTCTCCACCACCTCTCCATGCAACCGTTGTTTTACACGTATTCTGGCTGCTTGTCTCTCGTGCATCAGTCCAGAGCCGGGCATATGACATCTCAGCTTGACCAAGTTCGAGTCCCCACATCTGAGAAGCTCCTGATCTCGTTGAGAAGACAGAGGTGAGTAGGGACGGAGCCACAGGGCTTTGGGACGGTTTGGGTATTAATCCCTGCATCCGACAGCTGCTTACTGAGGACTTCTGCTGTGCTGGCTGCCACGGCGGTGAAACCTGTCCTCCCAAGCTGCCAATGACAGGGAGGGCTGGAGTTCACGAAACGGCCTGCGAGGCAGCCCCAGAGCTGCTGTGGAAAGGGGCGGTGACAAGCATTGCTTGCTCCTACAGTCCACTGGCCACACTCAGTCACACGGCCTCCACCTAACCCAAAGGCCAGCTGGGAAATGATGGGAAGGTCTCATGATTCTCAGTGGGCACAATCTCAACGTGGGTTTCTGGGACTCAATGTCGGCAGAAGCGTCACGCCTCGCACTGCAGGGTGGGGACAGTGGACTCTGGCTCCTGGGTCCCAGCTGCTTGCTAGCTTTCTAGTCTTACCTGGAACTGCACGGTTTAGCTGTCAAACACCCAAAGCCGCTTGGTTTCACCCTATCTTGGCCTGAGTAACCAGGAATTGTTTATTTATTAGAGGTTTGTGTGTGTGTGTGTGTGTGTGTGTGTGTGTGTGTGTGTGTGTGTGCAAAGTGAGTGCAGGTGCCCATGGGAGCCAGACTCGTCAAATTCCCCTGGCGCTGGGGTTGCAAGCAGTTGTGAGCCACCTGATGTGGATGAGGGACCCAAATTTCAGGTCCTCTGGAGGAGCAGCCCACACCCTTAGCCACTGAGCCGTCTCTCTAGCCACAGGACTTGCTGATGGGTAAAAACCAAAACAGCAAGAGCTACGTAACTCTAATGCATTTCTGGAGTGGGAGAAGCAGTGAAGAATGCGCGTCCAGGGCTGTCTGCTGGGGCACAGTGCCCTTACTTCCTTCTTTTCAACCCCCACCCACCTCTGGTTTTTCAAGACAGGGTTTCTCTGTGTAGACCTGGCTGTCCTAGAACTCGCTCTGTAGACCAGGCTGGCCTCGAATTCAGAGCCTGTCAAGACCAGAAGAGGGCATCCGGTCCTCTGGATGGAGAGCTACGAGTGGCCCCACCTTCCTTGGGTGCTGGGAAGCAGCTGAACCTGGGTTTTCTGGAAGGGCAGCCGGTGCTCTCACCCATCCAGCCATCCAGCCCAGGCGTCAATGTTAATTTTCAGTCCTGTTTCACAAAACCCTTTGAGATTGAACACCCAAAACTTTGATGCCTGTAGTAGGGACATCAGTCGGTCACTTCAGGGGACTCACTTGTCCCTTTAATGAATGGTTGTGGAGTCTGAGCCAGAAAACAAAATAAAAACCCAAACAACCCCCCCCCCCCATAAAAACAGAACTGGGAAGTGTACATGAAATAGTGGACTTCCAGAGTGAAGGCGGACGTCAGAGAGAAAGGTATCAGGGCTACGCTAATATTGTCTAATTCTCTGAACATGCGGCCTGGCCAACAGTTCACCTAGGGGGTCTTTGAGAGAGGTGGGTTAGATGGCGGTACGTCCCTCTCTCTGAAACGGCAGCGGGTTTTTATGTTGCTGGGTGTCTCGCCTGCACGCCTGGTGTCCCCAGCAAAGGCCTCTGGACCTGGAGTGGCACATGATTGTAAGCTGCCCTGGGCCCCAGGGAGAGCGGGCAGAGCTGTGAACCCCGGAGCCCTGTGCCCAGCCTGTCTCACTGTGCCTGACTTCCGATGATTGCTTCTCAGCGAGACCTCATCTTCCAGGAGAGATAGTAGGCGATAACCCACCCCTGGGGGGGGGGGGGTGCTGGGGTGCCTCCTGTGCTTCTGAGAAGCTTGGGGAGAGCTGCCTTCAGTCAGCCATCCGTGGGGTGGGCGGTAGAGCAGGACTCTGCTTCCACTACGGCCCACGGCTGGTGTGAGGAAAATCGAGCTGGCAAAGCCCTTAATCGGAGCTGAAGTTGGTGTTTCTAAGGCTTTGGTGTCCCTGTCCTGTGAGCTGCTGGCTTCTGTCGGAGTGTAAGTTTGTCTGCTTTGACTGCATTAGGAGTGTGTGTGTGTGTGTGTGTGTGTGTGTGTGTGTGTGTGTGTATGTGTGTGTGTGTGTGCTTCAGAGGTGAGTTATATTGGCTTGTCCAGGAGAAGCACATAGGCCCCTTTTTCTCCATGACCCTTGGCTTGGTGTGGCATGGCCGCATGGGCCCACCCTCTCCAGTTTAGATGGAGACGCTGTTCTCGATGAGGGGAGGGTCCAGGTAGGTGTAGGGCAGCGTCAGGCTTTGGTTCCTCTCCCTGATGCCGCTGGAGATCCGGATCAGCTGCCTCTGGAAGGCAGCCATGCTCCTCCGTGGGGCGTCCTCCGTGAAGTGTTCATCTGGATAGTGGCCCAGGGGCCTCTGGGGACCAATCAGAAGGCTGAGCTGCTGAGGCCCCCATCTTCTGAGCAGCTGCCACCCACCTCAGCTGGCTGTCCCCCGTCTCTCCCCCACCCGGTCACCCCACACAGTCTTTGGTGGAGCCTGTCCCTACTCTAAGCCTTCTTCTAAGTGACGGTGACCAGTAAGCTCTTGGGCTGTTCAGTCTGAAGGCCTGAAGGAGCGTTCAGCCCCATGTTACCGCCTTGGCCGAGAGCGACCGTTTCCGCCATCTTCTTTGGACACCTGATCTTCACTGTGAGTTGGTCAAGGGTCTTGTGTCTCGCTGGGGCATTTCAGGGAGGTGTGCATGTTTGGGCCTTGATGCCAGGGTTGAGTTTGGGCCACAGAGGGTAAGCAGCATGTACTTCGCTGGACAGACTCCTAGCTCTGTACTTACTCGGTCCCCGGGCTCCTGGCTTAGCATCCAGAGGGCCATGATGACATCACAAGTGGCATTGACTGCTGGGAGGGTGGCTATGAAGCCCTCAGGCCGAGCCTGGCCCTTTGCAGTAGGCGGCGGCAGCTGCATGCTGGGTGGGAGGTTGGGCATCCAAACACAAGAGTCAAACTGGAGGCAGAGGGGACAAAATGAGACAAGACCCTGGCTCCCCCGTTGCAGGCCCGTGGCCCTGACCCTTCCTCACCTGGCCTGCGCTCACAGCTGTATGCCTGGCTGAGCAGGTGAACATCACCATGGTGAGGTACTGGACCAGGGCTTCCCGCGTGTCCAACAAGGAGGGCACACCTGCAGGAAGAGCCGGGCTGCAGCCGGGGCTCTGGGGACCGGAGAGCCGCATGGAGAGTCAGGGGAGGGGAGGAAGGCCCAAGGGCTGGGGCCCCTGTACCTGAGCTTTCTCTGCTGAGGAAACCCTCAGAGAAGATCTCCCTCACCCAGGCCTGGAGCTCTTGGTCATCTCCGACAGATGCATCGCTTGGGTAGTAGGTGCCGACTATCTCAGAGACGAAGCTGAGGGGCACATCTGAATTCAGCCCCCTCCTCCAACCCGACCATCTCTGAGAAGCAGCCTTGCCCAGTGACACACGGCCAATCCCCCTGGTTGTGGGCCTCTCCAGTGCACCCATCCCCCACCCGGCTTCCTGGGGATGGTTCCCCCACCTCTTTATTGCCCTCCAGATCTGCAGCCCGTCATCCCGGTAATAGTAGCCTGGGATGTCTTCCACGCCCCGGGCCCGGATGTCGTCAGGGAGGCACAGGACAGAGTAGCTCAGCTGCTCCATGTTTCTCCGGATCAACTCAGAGAATCCGTCAATGCCGAGGCCTGTGGACTGAGGGACAGAACTCCTGGGCGCCAGAGCCTTGCTTCAGAATCGGGGCAGCACCGGTGCCAGGGAAACAGGGCCCACTCCCACGCCAGGCCACCATGGCCTCCCTCGTGGAGCCTGTCCTCCCACCGGGCGCAGCTCCTACCCTGTCCACCACCTGCCCAGGGGCGATGAGCAGCTCGCGGGCAAGCGTGTTGATGTGCAGGGTGTACCGGATGTGGGGGCTCAACAGCTGCGGGGGGGAGATGGGAGTCGGGGAAGGCCAGACCGGCCCCACCTTGAGTCTCACAGGAGCCAGCAAGGACAGGGGGCACCGTGTCCTACGCCCTCAGGTGGGGCTTTTCTGCCCTCTGAACACCAGATCATTCTGTCCGATGAGGACGGTGGGATTTCCTATCCCTGGGGCAGGCAGAGCATGAGAAGCAGGGCTGGGGCCTGGCGATGGGGAACGCACTTCTGAGAGGCAGGAGCTGGGCGTCCCAGTCAGGGACTCAGTCAGGTTGAAGGGCACAGAGCAGGCCCTGGGGCACCTCCTCACAGGACACGTTCCAACTAAGACATCTCTCTGGAGGGCACGGCTCCCCTCCACTTTCTGAGTTCTGCTTAGACATTCTCTTAGGCCTGGGATGCAGGCCCTACTCTGTGTTCTTCAGTCAGAACGGGAGCCCTGCATCCAGGCCCGGAAGGGTAAGGCCGCCCCAGGAGAGGCCACTTAAAAGAGGATAAACCAGGAGTCTGCAGGCTGGGTTACAGGCCGGGCCATCTTGTTTGTTCTGAGAAAGGATCTTTCTATATGGTAGTCCTGGCTGTCCCGGAACTGTGCTATGTAGAGCAGGCAGGTCCCGAGCTCACAGAGATCCTCCTGCCTCAGCCCTCCCCGTGCCGGGACCAGGGGTGGGCGTGAGCACACGCCCGGCCTCGCCAGCTTGTGGAGACACAGACCTTAAAGAGGGGGTGGCAGTAAGGCAGCTGACGCAGCGTGGCCAGGGCGAAGACCTCGGGCAGCAGGTGCGAGTGCAGCAGGTGCGAGAGGGCCTCGTGCACAGAGAACTCGGCGTTGCGCACCCAGGTCTTGGCCAGCAGCCAGTCCCACCTGTCATCGCTGGGCAGGAAGATGGGGTTGTCGGGCCCCGGAGTCTGCTTGAGCTGGTGCGGAAGGCCAGCAGGAGACGGGCAGTGTCAGCTTCTGTCAGCACTCAGTGGACCCTCTGTCCTTCTGCCCCCACCCCGCCTTCTTACAGACCTGGATGGCGAGGGGGAGCAGGGGCCCGGACCCCGAGCTCTGGTATAGGAGGGTCATTGGGGCCGCAGAGAACTGAGGCTTTCCGTTGATGACGTTGGTCTGGACTCCAGAAAGGATGCCATGATCCACCAAGAACAGGGAACCCTTCTGCAGAAGAAAAGGGGGCCGTGGCTGCCCCCCAGCTTTCCAAAGCAGGGGCCAAGGAGCAGGAAGAGGACCCAGGGTCACGGGGGTGGGGGGGGAGGCATTCTGAGAGAGGCTGCTCTTGGCATGCAACACCTTACTAGGCCCTCTGTCTCCAGGAGAGGGCCGAGCCTGAAGAGACCAGGATAGGGTTTGCAGAACTCCAGGACTGTGACACACCTCCAACTCGGCCTGCAGATTTGTCCCAGGGCCCAGCACTGGGGCCACCATTTCATCAGTGACGGGAAAGTTCTTTGGGAGGCTGCGACAGCGGCGGATCAGAACTGGGTTGAGGCCATTCAGGAACTGGGATGCAAAGAAGGCATCTTCCTGCCAGTGCGCAAACACATACTCTGTGGGAGGGCAGAGGACACGGGACGTCACCACAGTGACATCCCCACAGCTTTGCTCCTTACTCGCTTGGTGCGTGTCCTTTGGTCCATCCTGGGTACCCATCTCTTACAAGGACCTCCCCTCATCCCTGCCTATTCACCAAAGATCAAACCTTAATCTCAGCCCGTCATCTCACTGCCCACCTCGTACCACCCCGGGTGGCTCAGCAGCCTCAAATGCAATCTAAGCGAGGGCTCTCTCTTCCTCCAGCTCAGCCTCCTCCCCTTCCCGGCACCCCAACGAATGGCAGGTTTGTTTATGTGACTGCAGTCTGGAACCCCTAGGTAGCAACATTCTCCTCCTCCCATTAAGTCCCACGGGCTCGCCGTCCGTCCACTTCGTCCCTGCCCAGCCGTGGCCCTGATGAAGCCCCCACAGCCAGCGGGCCTCAGCTAGAACCCTGGCTGCTCTTCCTGTTTGCCCTCATGCCTCCGGCCCACCCCATGAAACACATGTAGCCGTATCTACCCAAGCCAGCTTCGGGCACCAGGCTCACATGCTTAGGGGAGCCATCAGCCTGCCCCAGTGCACACAAGTGTGGACATGACTTCTCCCCGCCTCTCTTTCCCATACTCAGTCCACTTGGCTCACAGCAACTTCCTTCCCTTAGTTCTGTTCTTCTGCTTGCAGGGCCTTTCCTGACCCTGGAGCACTCTCTGCCCTCGGCCTCATCCTCAGTGTTAACACCCTGGGGTGTTAGAGCACCCACCCCAGGAGAGTGCTCTAGGGCACCCTGAAAACTAGGGTGGGTCCCCCTTTCGCCCATTTCTGAAGCCAATAAGCACACCTTCCAAGAGACACTAATGACATGATTTTGAGTCTTGGTAACCAGAGCCTAGCCGCGCTCCTGTGTCCACAGCCCCAGCCAGTCACCTGGGTAACTGCTGGGTCAGGTCGGGGATGGCCTCCACCCATCCCCATTTCATCTCCGTGGGAACTTGTTTAGGTCTAGTTGGAAGGGCAAGGAGCCTCTCTGCCTAAAGCCACGAGGCGAACTGGCGCTTGATTTTCTGTTTCCTTTGAGCCTCCTGGTAGTGAGGGCAAGTGGCGCCCAGCAGGAGATGAAGACCCTGGCCCCAGCGCCTCACCTGCTGCTGGAGTCTTGTGGAAGTTAAACATCCTCCTCATCTCCCTCAGGCTCCTCCAGAGTCCTGTGCGGTCCAGGAACCCTTTGATTTTCAGCTCTGCAAACCTGATGGAAGATGTGAAGGGTGGGGAATGGCACAAGGCTCCAGGAGACCCCCCTCTGTGTGCCTGACACAGTCACTGACCCTAAGGCAGCCACTGTCCTACAGGACAGGAGACTGTTTCAGACAGGGCTGAGTGAGCTGTGTCACTGAGGGAAGGAACTGAGCAGGAGAGAAGGGAGGGGTGGGGACAAGCAGGGTGGCGTCCTCACGCGGAGTGGGCCTTAAAGTGGAATGTGGCGTTCTTCAGTGCGGAGTACTTGATGTTGAGGTCCAAGCCTTTCACAGTCTCCTGGTCCAGGCAGCGAGGCCAGCCTTCCATGTAAGTCTTCCACCTGGAAGGGTGACAGTAAATAGTGGATCAGGGCCTTACGGAGCCCTCAGATCAGACTGAGACAAAAGAGCCTCCGTCCCGGGGAGCCAAGGCCACAGAAGAGAGGAGAGGAGAGAGAGGGGAGGAGAGGAGAAGAGAGGGAGAAGAGAGGAGAGGAGAGGAAAAGGGAGGATACAGGAGAGGAGAGGAGAAGGGAGGAGAGGAGAGGAGAAGGGAGGAGAGGAGAGGAGAAGGGAGGAGA